GAGAGTAACAGCTCGGGGACAAGGGACACGGAATGGAAGAGGTGGGCATTGGGCGAAAATGTTTTGTTCTTTTGACAGTGACTGGGTGAGTTAAAAGAAACGCGTGGGAGTCGTCAAAGGGCCCGTTCTTTCATATGCAAGACTCCCAATGACTAAAGGGCTGGGATGTGACATGGCAGGATAAGTGAGCGCTCGCTCGGGCGGCCCAGGCGGGAGGAAGGTGGGTGCATTGTCAGCAGTCTCCGCACAGGGACCTGCTTTAGGAACACGCTGGGCGGAGGGTGCATTTCATCTGCCCAGGGTCCATGTTTACAAAGCATCTGGCTTTGTACCCCAGCCAGGGCATTTTTTTGTTGTCAGGTACGCTCTTTCTCATTGGTCGTTATCTGATTGCCCTGCCACCGTCAGTTGGGAGAGGAGAGGGTATTATCCACAGGCTGGGGTCAGGGGCAGAAGGCAACCGCATCGGTTAGAATTAAACACTGCCACGGTAATGGAGACGGATGCTCACATCGCTGATGATTTCACCGGAGGCCTTCGCCGCCTGGAATGGGAGGGCGTCCAGTCTCAGTTTATACCCGCCGTCTCGTAGCTTGCTCCAGGATTCCTTATACCGTGTCTGTTGGGAAGATATGCACCAGTAGAGACCGTCATGTGGCCTGCTGGCTTCCCAAGCTCCCGTTACCAAAACGGGAATCTGGTTTGTCATGGGTTTGTCTCCCAGTTGGGAGGTCAGAGATCCCTGGGGTTTAGCACAAATCACCAAAGAGCTGGCTCCTGGCTCCTGCCCACCCATGGGGGAGGGGAGTGCGGGGAGGGGACGGGGGTTACAAAGCAAGAGCTTTGGAGGCAGACAGACCCAGATTGCTGTGAGCAGCAGGTTAACTGCAAGAAGGAGGCGTGAGGCTGTACATGCGTGGCTCTTTACATAGGATAAAGAGAACCCGGCTGTCTCCGTCAAGGAACAGGTAGGGGGGCGGACAGAGACTATGGAGGTGAAGGCCCCCGTGTCTCTCCTTGCCACAGCCGCTGGATAGACTCACCTGTATTCTGATGCCCATATACCAGTCCCACAGTGCAAATGCCCCCTGCACTAAGGCATTTCTCGTAGTCCCCTCCTTGTAAATGACCTTGACGCTCCCGCAGGACCAGCCACCTAATCCGCAGGGCCCAATGCAAATGGGAATGCGGGGCCCCTTGTTCAAAAATATCACACATTCCAAGACAATGACAGAGCATCACACCAAGCGGGGCCCTTCTGAGCACAGGATGCTGTGTGTCTGCGCAGGTCCCGAGGCCCCGCAGTGAAAACCCGTACCCTTCCACCAGCCTCACCTCGCTGATATTCATGGCATTCAGCTTGGCCAGCAGGACTTCCGGGAGGTCGGCTGTCTGCGTGTAATGATGCTTTATGTTTTCTCCCTGTTCCCTGTATAACCTCTGTGGGTGGAGAGAGGTTTCGCATTAAACCCAGAAGCCTCCCCCACGCAGCCATCAGCCAAGTTAAACTCCAACAGACAAAGGTGAGGCAGCTGCCGCCTCCCCAGAGACAGGACCACAGACGCCCTGCCTCCGTGTGGATTTCACAGCCAGCACGGGGACACGCGCTTCATTTCCTCCCGAGTTCTACATCCTCGCTCAGAACACGACAGGCTGAAACCGCGCCCTGGGTTAACGCTCCACTGGTAGCACATGGCTGAGACGGGTGTCAAATGACAAATGAGGTCTGGTTAACATCCGTGATTTTGTTATTAACTATATAAGCTAAGAGAGGGCATCAAAACTCAGGCTGCATGAGAGACGATGGTTCATCCACAGGTGAGGTTTCCCTGGATTTACATCAATCCTCATCCCTCTCCCATTGCAAGGATTCTTGTGCTCAAACTGTCTCCTGCGCTAGCCGGTTTGGCTCAGTGGATAGAGCGTTGGCCTGTGGACTGGAGGGTCTCGGGTTCAATTCCGGTCAAGGGCACATGCCTGGGTTGCAGGTTCAATCCCCAGTAGGAGGGGAGCAGGAGGCAGCTGATCAATGATTCTCTCTCATCATGGATGTTTCTATCTCTCTCCCCTTCTCCCTTCCTCTCAGAAATCAATAAAATATATATATATTTTAAAAACTGTCTCCTGGGTGGGTCTAGGGCACTATTCACCCAGAATTCTGATTTGGGCTTTGGGATATTCTGGTAGTGAGCAGGGACACATGGCGCTGGCTACAGCCACAGAGAAAGTTCCTAAGCTAGGTTTTTTTCCACCCCAAATCATATCTGATGTGTCCAAGTTTCTGTGCATCACAGCACTGCCCCCTAGAGTTGGTTAGGGTAAGGAAGAAGCAGGTACTGTTTTCCTTCATACAAAAAAGTTCGTGTTTCTCAGAATCCAATTTGATCCTGATGGCTGATTATCAAGATAGGATACATTCCTAAGCCTGAACGTTTGCAAATCATCCCAGAACATATTCGGACGGGTGCTCTGGCCATTTCAGAATGCCTGTCGAATAAGGCACAACCGGAATACCTGGCCCAATTGGGAAACAGGGGAGCATTCTGAAACCGCTCCCCATAAGGCTGGTAGATTTTCCTGATAGCAAGTTGAATGGTTTGAAGATATTTCACAGGTGTGTGTGCCCTGCACAGAGATCTGTGGACCTCTCTCAGCAGAGTCAGCCAAACTGGGCGGACTCATGTCCTCGGGTGACTTTTTATAGCACCCCATCTTCCAATGAACCCTGAGCTGAGAGGACAAAAGACCAGGTCGCGGCTGACATTAAACTGGGAAGAGGGGGCGTGGCTTGGCAGTTTAGTCCAAGGTACATATATGAGATCCAAATCATTTCCAAAGCCTTGGGGAAATTCCAAGGGGAAGAATTCCTGTCCTTGGGACCCCAGGAGCCCTGAGCCTGGCTTCCGTGTTCCAACTACTGAGAATTTCACCCCAAAAGTTCCAGTTCTGCAAACAATGCTTTAAAACAAAAGGAGCCGGGGAGGTGGGGGGAGAGGGGAAGGCCCCACCACAGACAAATCTTCCCGACATGCAAACAGGAAAAAGTGAGCCTGGGGCTGTGGGGTGGCGGAGCCCCAGTTGGCATCCTGAAAGCGTTCACACCCCCCACCCCACATCCTAATGAGGCAGCACCCCGCTAAGGTGAGCCTCAGCAAAGGACAAGACGCTCCTTCATCCCGAGAGCAACAGAAGGAGCAAGCCAAGAACCCCTCGGCTTCAATCGCAGGGTTGAAAGAGGCGCCCACTCTCAGAGTCATAATGTATATACATTATCGCTTACATCCACTGCTTGGGTGTAACTAATTCTGGCCTGGACCATCCCCGGAGTGTCTTTAATACTGGTAAACTTCAAAGCATCTGGATGCTGACGGTACTTCTTCTGTTGAGCAGAAAAAAGATCAAAGCTGTGAATTTTGTGCGGCTCTTTCATGCCATTTGAAAGAGAAAAATCATAGGTTGCTTGAGATTAGAGTGAATTTGTGAACATAATTATTATTCGGCTTCCTCCATCTTTATATCCTCGGTGGCTTCAGGTTAATATTTGTTTCCATTTAAGAATAACCTCGTGTCAATTAACATTAAAGTCTATCTACCTGGTGCAAAGAAAACAGCTCAAAATTAGGTTATACCAGTAAAATACTGTGGGAGACACACTTAGGAAAGGACGTCTTTTTTTATAGGCTTCAAATACTGCCTCACAGTTGTTTACAGATCTTAGTTTGCGTCTCCGAGGCAAGAAAAGAACATTCATAGTTACATTTATCAGTGGAAGCTGTCTAATTTTCTTTCCACAAAAGGACTTGGCAGAGATGATCACAGTCAAAACCCTGGCATTTAACAGTGAGTGATCCTAGGCTATTGAACCAATCCTGAACCCGGTTCAGTTTTGGTTAACAATGGTTAACAATAACAAGGAAAAGGGTAATGGGAGTCATCCTGCAGTTTGAAACAACAGCAGCAACAAATTCAAATGCTGGTGAAGACCTATAAACCTCATTTTGATTCTAAAAATCGTGCTTAAATGAATTTGCCTTTCAATCAAAGCACATTCTCAAGAGGCTAGAACGGCTGCCACCTTCATGGAATTAGGAAGCGTACCTTGCCTCCAATCAAACACGTATTTTATGAGCACTCCCATATCCTGGGTTGTCTTAAGAAGTCACAGCTCAATATCCATCCCGACTTTGTAAATAAAGTTTTATGGGAACACCCCATGCTCATTCATTGGCGTACTGCCCGTGGCTGCTTTCACGCTACAATGACAGAGGTGAGCTATTGTGACAGAAACCGTGCGGCCCCATAAGCCAAAAATATTTACTATCTGGTCCTTCACAAAAAAGGTTTGCTGACGGCTGCTTTCACTGATAGGTGGGGGTGCTTGCGTGGCTCTTCTGATGGAGCCTCACGTTCTGTCCGAAAATTAAGAGGTGAACCCCATGTGACACTAACCTGGAAGCATGCCAGACTGCAGCGAGATGGTTGGGAAAAGGTGCTAAAAGATGTCCTGACTTCCTGAAGTTTGAGGACTTGTTTGAAGCATGGAAGGTAAGCAAATTTGTTGAGTAAATTTGCAAAATGAGGTGGAAAATTAAGACCCTTGTGGGGCAGATAGCTCCAGGCAGATTCCTTTGCTGCCACACTTGGATGCATGGAGGCATCACCGTGAAGTCTAAGTGACGTGTATAATGGTCTTTATTCTTTGTGTCTTGTTATGAGGGGGTCCCCTGTGGAGAGCTTGGGGCCATGAATCCTCAAACCTACATGTTTGTTCCTGTAAGTTTCCCACAGGCATCCTCCTAAGATGGCCTTTTCTTCATTAGAACTTCCCAGGGCGCTACCGTCTCCACCAGGCTCTCAGGGTTTTCTGAGCCTTGAATGCTGACCAATGTTTCTAAAAATTAGGCCAACCAGAGTGAGCCCGCTTTCCAAATCAGCTCCAAGGCGTGTCGGGTAACTAGAATGCTCTCCGATTGGGAAATGCCAGTGCTGAGTACGTGTGTTTGGAAATCCAACACAGGAGTCTGTTTTAAGTATACATTCAGTCTCCTCCTGGGACCAAAACAAGGTCCCGGGGACTCACTGCTGAGGCTGAAGTCTTCTGGGGCTACGGCCACTCTGGTTCCCGCCCAGAAAAGTCCAGAAGGACCAGGCTACTCTGAAGGCAACTAAACAAATGCTCACTTGGTGTTCTGAATAAGTCCCTCTCCAAACGGACAGGAGCAGGGGTGGATCCGGGGTGTCTGGGGGTACGCAGCCTCTCTGTGAGCGTGAGCCAAGGACAGCTGCCTGGTGTATCCAGTCGAGTGGGCCTCTACCTTCCAGCAATGTCTGGAATTATTTTTAGTTGTCACAACTGGGCAGAGGGTGCTACTGGCACCTAGTGGGTAGAGGCCAGGGATGCTGCCAAACACCCTAAAAGGCCCAGGACAGTCCCCACGACAAAGATGATCAAAATGTCAACAGCGCCAAGATTGAGCAACCCTGATCAGCTCCATGAGGCTGTCTTACAAGGTGAGGAAGTGCCCCTTTTCATAAAGCCGGAATGCCTTAGGGTCCAGGGAGGGTGGCCGCAAGTAGACAAGAGTGAGATTTAAATAGAGGTAAGACCTCCCCCCCAACAAGAGGGAACCATGTCACAGGTTCACACCACGTGAATATTCAAAAGCTGTTTATACTGGCAGAAAGAAAGGGAGACAATGTGCATAAACTCACAAAAGGGCTCTCTGGGAGCAATAAACGTGTCTTTTCATCATCTCTCCCGTGTTGCTTCATTAAAAAGGTAAGTTAGTGGGGGAGCAATTGGGCTCCCGTTTGATTGTTATTATTATTCATCATATCATTTGTCACCCACTTTGTTTTTGCCAGGGCTCTATGTGGGCCCCTACTGGTGTGTGTTTGGTATGTGGTTTCTCTATAATTACCAGCCCTCGTGTGGGGTTGGAGGTCTTTCATGCAGCGTTCCCTTTTTCTTTGCCTTTTGAGTGGAAATGATTTTAATTTTATACAGAAATGCCACATGCCTCATGCAGCCGGGCCTGTTGCAGGCTGTCAGGAAATCTCACCTCGCTAATGAGTTCTCCTGCCTTCTTCGCCTGCTCCACATTTAATGACCCGACGGCGACCCAGCCCGCGCCTTTCATCCACTTCACATCTGCCCTGTATTGGTTCTGACAAAGGGGAAAGAAAAGAAAAGAAAAAAAAGACAGGCCATTGTTGGTATGCAGGCATTTAAAGGGCCATTAGCAACTGCCAACGTAGTCTTGGTGGCAGCTGAGTCGAATGAGATGCCACCTTTGTCTTATCCATTTCTGCACAGTCACAGCTAAGGCTCCAAAAGGTAAATTAATTTCCCCTTTAATTGCAGCCTGCCTGCTGATGGCCACTTTAGGCCCCGCCCAACACTGCTGGGGGTGGGGAGGGAGGGGCCAAATCCACCTGGCCCCTCATTAGGAACTGACCATCTACCTAGAGAAAAGGAGCGTCCTCATTGTCTGCTTCCCCCGTTTCCTTGTTTAAAATGACATGCAGGGGAGAAGAAAATGAGAATTCACAACGGAACCCAGGAGGGGAGCTATTGGAGGGACTTTCACAAGACATCCGAGGCTTCCCACAGCGCCAGTTCCTTCGTACACACCTCACCTTGGTGCGGACAGTGGGGGTGGAGTTCTCATTCCCTTACTTGCCAATGAAGGAGTAGATTTAATGGAAAACCATTAAGTGGACACTTCTCTAAAACGGGCATATCCCCTATCTACCCTAAAACAGCTCTACTGGCAAGGATGTGTCCACACGGCACCCACTCTACCCCGTGTAACTGCTGGCCGCCGCTGACCTGCCTTTTCAGTTCACCCACCTTCGTGTACAAGAGTCAACCGAAGATGAAAGAAAACAAAGCCAGGTGGGGAATATAAGGAAGAGGGCGTGAGAGCTATTGATTAGTGAGCCGATCATTCTAAAAGTTGGAATGCATATCAGAGATGCCCTCCCATAAGGAAGCCACCACTCAGAAGGTCACAAATACATCCCCTTCACCAGGGGGCAATACAAAGAAACATGGAACACGTATGCAGATCAGAATTCCAAGAAGAAAAAAGTAGCTTCATAATTTTCTGTCTAGTCCTATTGAACTTACAATGGGCATAATCTGAATAAGAGTTAAACCACTAGGAAGCGACCATGTTTCCACCTGGGGACCCAGAAGTCGGTATTTGCATAAGTATAAACTATTGTCTTGAAGGATCTGGGTGACCTGCACCAACACGACCACACACACGTACACACACATACACATACACGGAGCTTACATCACTCTGTAAACCGTAGGCCTTCTTGGCCCATTCCACCTTCATGTCCGTGGGCAGAGCTGTAAAGTGATGTGATGCCGTCTTGTAGCCTACGTCTGTGGCTAAGTGCTGAGCCTTCCGGGCGTGCACAAGGTGGACCATGTCTAGGGAGACGTGGCACTGGGACTTGGTGTCTTCGAATCCCTTTTTGTACTCCAGGTCGCTCTGCAGCTTGGACATTTGCAGGGAGTGGCTCATTTGCGAGTCGCCCTGGGCACCCTGTGCCCCAATGAGCTTCCCTCTGGACCTCTCGTAGTCCTCCTTGTACTTCACCTGGATGAGAAGAGGAGAGCAGGAGTGGGTCAGAATCTCCTAAAGGAAGTGTGGCCTGGCCAGTGTGGCTCAGTGGTTGAGCATTGACCCATGAACCAGAAGGTCACAGCTCGATTCCCAGTCAGGGCACATGCCTGGGTTGCAGGCTCGATCCCCAGTAGGGGGTTTGTTTTACTGATTCTGCACTGTCTACCGCTCCAAGAATTGTGACATGCATTGCCCGGCTGGTGTGGCTCAGTTTGTTGAGCATCTTCCCACGCACCAATAGGTCAGATTTGATTTCTGGTCAGGGCAAGTGCCCGAGTTGCAGGCTAGATCCTCAGTAGTAAAGGAATTGTGACATTTTAAACCACATGCATTGCCTGGCAGGTGTGGCGCAGTTTGTTGAGCATCTTCCCACGCACCAAGAGGTCAGATTTGATTTCTGGTCAGGACAAGTGCCCGAGTTGCAGGCTAGATCCTCAGTAGGAGGCTAGCAGGAGGCAGCTGATCGATGTTTCTCTCTCACTGATGTTTCTATCTCTCTCTCCCTCTCCCTTACCCTCTTCTTAAAGTCAATGAAAACATGTTTTAAACAAACAAACAAACAAACAAAAAAACATACCCTCTTCCTAAAGTCAATGAAAACATGTTTCAAACGAACAAACAAAAAAAAACACACAGGTGTGAAAATTAAAACAAAGCCATATGACAGAATCCTAATAAAAAGTTTGCCTCCTTTGAACAACCTTTCATCAAACAATGAAATAAAATATTACTGCTCATTATTCCCTTTCCACCCCAGCTACCAGAAAGCTCAGAGCCACACAATGCTCAGTTATAGAACAGTTTTCTCCAAATTTCCTCGTGAAATTCCATCTTTTCTCTATATCACTTGCCACCCCTCTTCCTGGATTTATTTTTAACTGCCCTCTTGCTTTCCTGAAAGCCACTTTAAAATCCTTTTTGGTAACAGTGAAAACATTATAAATAAAAAGTATTCACGAAGTTAAAAAGACACAGAATGTCCAAAATGCAATTGCTGTTTGAGAAAGGAGCTCGAATTAAAAAACAACTGGGACCCATAAATATTTAGAAGTATGGGTGCCAAAGGAAGCATATTGGCCTGAAAAAATAAAAAAGGTATTAGGCCAAGAGCAATGAGAATTAGGAGAAAGAATAAGTATGGGAATGTTTTAAAAAGTGTAACAGGATACCAGTGTGTGGCACTATTGTCATTGCTGTGGCCATCAGGTGACTTGGGCTCCTCATTCACCTCTGCCAACAGCAACAGCCGTATCAGTATCTGTCACCATTCACTGGACACTTTCTGAGCCAGGCTTGGTATACACCTGTGTCACTCCAGACCAGAGCTGGTTTGTAAAATGTTACCCTTTGATAACATAAGGAGCTGGTATTGGAATGTAAATCAACTGACCACCAAGCCACTGTTGAGTTCAGCTGACCTCTCTCTATATTTATGTCCATGGAATCCATATGTTACATCGCATATACATGACCTACGGAGTATGTAATGTGTATATACACATGCTGTAAACGGCAGGCTTCACGGAGACATGGACAAGTTGGAGACGGACTCACCTCGCTGGCCAGGTCCCTCTTGGCTTTGGCTGCCAGGAAGGCCAAGGAGTCAAGACGAAGCTCAAAGCCTTTTGCCTTCTGGTTTTCCCAGCTGCTCTTATACAGTTTCTAAGGGGAATCAGGGGAAAAGAGATCATCTTCACATGAGGCCCTTCCCGTAGACTCGTTATGTAACAACCCCTCTGGGAGGCAAACGCCGATCACGCCTTTCCCCCAAACCCCAAGACCTCAGAAACCCTGTAACCTGAACACAACCAGGCCTCCTTGTTCCTGTCTTAATGCCTCTTGCAACACATGGCTTCCAGACATTGAACTGAAGAAGCCTTGACATGCCGAAGATGGGATAACATGACATGACACACAGCAACCTTTCTGAAAGGTGTTCTCCAGCTCAGGGCACACCCCACCGATCCAGCCACTGCCCCACTCTCTTCTTTCCCTGTCCCCCAGCCTCTAGTTCCTTTGTGTCTTTTCCTTTCTTCTCCCATTTCCTGTCCTGCCTCCACCTCCAGATTTCAAGTTCTTTCTTCTGGAAGGCTCCCCTGCCTGCTGTGTGTGAGTCAATTTAGCCTCTGTCACTCCCTCTAATTCTTTCCTCTCCCCGTTAATCAGATCAAGACCTCAAAGACCTGGGAGCTGAGTGGCAGAGCGAAGGCCCGTCCTTAGAAGACACTGATGGGAAAGTGTATTCTTACTGTTGTGTCTAAGAGCAAAGCTACCCTGTGCACAGTCCTCTGAGTGCTTTCTGTGTATTAGCTCATTGCAGCCTCATGACAACCCCGTGAGGAAGGGACTAGTATTACCCTCACTTTACCAATTGGACAACTGAGAGCAAAAATTTGCCCAAAGTCACTCACCTAGTAACTGGCAGAGCCAAGGATCAAACCCAGGCAGTTTAGAGCAAACGTCTGAGCTCTTACTCCCTCCCCTATGACACTGCTCCTATGCTGTTTCCACCCTGACCCCAGAGAACCCCTGCCTCCTACTCCTTCACATAGTCAGTGGCTCAAGTCACCACTGGCTCACTCCTATGAAAGGTGGTCCTCCCCGCAAAACACTGGTCAGGAACAAGGTTGCTAGACAAGCTGTTTACAATGACCAGGTGTATGCAACCTGAGCTGACCCACCAACATGGCTGGTCAGGTTTGGGGGTCCAGGTGCCCACACAGGAAAGCCGGACCCCCATGCTGTACCTCGCTGAGATTGGCAGCATTGGCTCGGGCCTGTAAGAAGAGGGGTTCGTCTTTGCTGATGCTGTACTGGTGGAGGGACTGCTCATTTCCTGCCTTGTAGGCCACCTGTTGGGAGAGAGAACTGGGTCAGGAGCAGGTGGGCGGATGGGCATCACTCATGGGTTCTTATGTCTGCTTGAATCTTCTGTGCCTTGCCTGGGAAGACCTTACAAAATCACCCAGACTAGACAGTGGCCAGTAAGATACAGTAAATGAGGCTTAACACAGAAGAGTTACTAGGAGGAGCAGCAGCAGGGAGGAGCTGAGAGAAGAATGTGGCCGGGGAACCAACCCCCAAATCCCTCCAAGGTTTTTGTTCTCATGCCTTTCCCTTGAGAAGACACAGACCTCCCCAAGGTGTTCTCACCTACGCTGTCTGCAGCTTCAAAAAATAACCCATCAGAGAGCTCAAATGAGCACAGACTCTCCAAGCAGGAAAAATGAAAAGCGCACTCTGCCTCCTGTGCCCCCATAATCGAGCCTAATGCATTCGTAGGTCTGACACCTGGACAGTGAGCAGCGACCAGAACGACGCCACGAGTGAAAACCTCCATCACTCTTGCTATTTCTCCCTCTCCTTTCCTCCCGACCAACAGCTTGAGTTTCCAAACAGTGGCTTTCTACTGACTCGTTATGTTGATAGCATCCTTTCTGGCAGGTGTACCTGGACCTTTAGGAGGGAAAGTGAGGACCATAGCAACTACGATACCTGCTTAGTGCAGGTGCGCAACCAGTGAACACTGATGTATCGATAACACGTGTGGAGTTTCACTGCTCTGCCCCCCACGTGAGCTCAAGCGGGCATGAACTGTACACAACCCACAAGCAAATATCCTTGTCCCCCACGATAAAGCTCTACTGGCTCCAGAATTATAGAGCCTCTGATGAGAGACAGAGGAGAAAGAAAGAAGGAACTAGGCAATAAGGAAAGCTGAAAGGAATAAAATCAGATGGCATCGACCCCAACAACCAGGGAGAAGTGTGGTGAATGAGGCGGGGAGACCTGGGATCCAGCTCCCAGACACAGCCTGGAAGCCTGCAGAAAGCTGGGTCCAGCCTATTTAAAGGGATGATTCTTTGTTGGTCCCTGGATCGTGCCTGGGCAGCACCTGCTGTTGTCCCCAGAGGCTCCCAGGCCCATGACACAGCAGCCTGGTGGAGAGAGGGCAGCCCGGGACTCACCCCGCTCTGCAGCTCCTGGCTCTTCTTGGCGTGCTCCATCTGGGAGCTGTCGGCCACACTGGTGAACTTCAGCTCGTCCACCCTCTGCCTGTAGTTTTTCTGTTTTCAAAGAAAAGGGACCCCATTAGGATGAGGCTGTCCCACCCCCGTGTCTGTCTGTCTGTCTGTCTCTCTCTCTCTCTCTCTCTCTCTCTCTCTCTCACCCAAGCATGTCCTGGGGTTGAGGGGGAAGTTCCTGCTGGTCCTGCACTTAGGGCCAGGCAGACCTGAGACTGCCTGCTCTGGTGAGAGTGTTTTAGTTGCTACTCCTGCGTTTTCTCCTAATAAATTCTGTATTTCACCATGTGCCCTGGGATGTGTCCATCTTATAAATCTAGATCTAACCCAGGATAGGGAGGGGTAGGGAACTTGGACTTCACAATCATGAAGACCGAAGTTTGAATCTCACCTCCACCTCCTTCCAGCTTCAGAGATGAGCAAAACCCCCAGTGCTGTCGGCAAGAGGATTATAAATACCAAATGAACCCCAAATAGGAATTGGAATATTAAAAAAAGAAACTCCAAATCTCCTCCCTGCAGGAATATAAAATTCGAGAGCAAATACTCCAGACAATTGCAGTTTCCTTCCTAGCTCCATTGTGTTGATGGAAAAACCCCTTCCCCACATAATTGAAGGAAGTGACATTGCCCTTCCAGGATTTAAATTCCCACTTATCCCTCAGTCCACACTGGTAAACATTCTTATTGAGGAGCCAAGAATCACCCTGGACAGGGCACAGCAGGGACATTAAAAAGGCGAAGGAGATGGTATCTACGCGTCCCTTGAGGAGCTTAACAATAGTAGGCACAGGAAGTGAGGTAGAAACACATTCCTCAGGCTGAATTCATTCCTAAGGCTAGCTGGGGTCCCTTACTGCACTTGTGTCCAAGACAAATGAACCTTTAGTTGCTCCCCCTGTATTTTAGCTGGTCTCAAAGAAGCTAAGTAATAGGACCCTAAAGGGTTATTCTATCCTCTCTACCTTCCTTATTTATACATTCTGGCCATAAGTGTGTCTGGGTTGGAGAGAAAGGTGAGTACGTAGGAAATAAGGATAAATTACAAAAACGTGCTTTGGGGGTGCAATATTGCTTAGTGGTCAAAACCCGGGGCACTGGATCAAACGCTTGATTCAGTTGCCACCTCTGCTAGTTCCTGGAAGTGTGACTTTAAGTCTCACTTTCCTCGTGTGTAAAATGGGATGTTAACAGAATAATAATAGTGTCACTCACCTAGGGCTGCTGTGAGCAATAAATGAGCAATATGTAGGTAACACACTCGACGTGGTAAATAAATGACAGCAATGAGTACATAATTATCAGTCCGCAGTTGGCAGCTACGACTACCAATATTATTACCATTTGCAAGAGAGATGTCGGCTCAGCCTTCCTGGCCACGACACAAGAATCCCCTTTAAAAGATCCCAAAGAGCGATCCTGAAATCGTCCCATTTCTAAATGAAATGTCCTTCAAAAGTCCTCCTCTGCCTGCTGCCAAAGCCAGCTTTACACAGTGCAAAGAGAAGCAAGCTTGGAGCCATGACGACTTTGGAGGGTAGCCAGTCCAACCTTCTCATTTTTATGTGAAAGAGGGTGGGGAGGGTTGAATGACTTGCTCAAAGTCTGCAGTGAATGAAAGGCAAGGGTGTAATGAGAACACTGTCCTCCAAATGTCCAACTCTAATTCAGAAGTAATCACAAACTCTTACACAACAAACACGTGCTTCCTGGTGCCAACCGATTGTGTATGACAACCTCTCTGAACTCTTCTGTGGACGCTGCGGCTACTTACATTGCTGGGCTGCGTACACATACCTTCCCCAGGTGCAAAATAAAAAAACACTCCTATGAGTCATACCCCAAATAATCCTGGGGGTTGGGGAGGGGGAATCAGAGGACAAGATCACTACTAGAAGCCAGGGGCCTCGGCTCAGGTTACCTCGCTGACCAGCTGTCCAGCCTTCTTGGCCTGTTCCAAATTGAGACCGCCCTCCGTCAGCCACCCCACGCCTCTCATCCATGCCAGGTCAGATTTGTACTGCAGCTGCAAGAGAAAAGCCAGTCTCTAACAGATGCATGGGTGCAGACTGCACAAAGGTTGAGGGGCGAGTTAGGAAATTCCTTGCTTCTGCATCGTCTTCCTAGAAGAACTGCTCCCTACTCCTTCATAATCTGGCAGGACTCTGCCTAGGTAGGGAGGACACTGGGCCCACTTTTGTAACCATGTTCTACTTTAGCACTGAAACGTCCTAACCTAACCAGAAAATGGGCTTTTCAGACTTTTTGATCAAGGACCTCCTCATCTTTCAATCTGCTAAATTTCCGAGATTTACTTACCATTTTCAACATTTGATTCCTCTTTGCTCATCTTGAGTTTTACTAACCAGAAAGTGGGTTTTTCAGACTTTTTGATCAAGGACCTCATCTTTCAATCTGCTAAATTTCCAAGATTTACTTACCATTTTTAACATTTGATTCCTCTTTGCTCATCTTGAGTTTTGTCATGGCTCTGAGCCCCCTGTCCTGCATCCGCTAGTCTCCACTGTCTCAGCTAAAACTATATCTCTATCTCCCCATCCACCTCCTCAGACCTGGTATATCTCCAGCAGTTCTTCCTGGTCCTTCTAGTTAGGTCATAGACACGTGCACAGGATCACTCTCAAAGTGTCACTGTATCCCACTGCGAGAGACGCACGGGAGACTGTCAATGAGGGGGGCTCACCTCGCTCTGGAGCCCGTAGGCTTTCTTGGCCCACTGCGTCTTCATATCTTCGGGCAGCACGGTGTATTCGTGCAGCTTTTTCCTGTAGTCCAGGTCACTGGCCAGAGCTTGGGCCTTCTTAGCATGCCTGATGTTTACCATGTCCATGGGCAGGTGAAAGTGGGTCTTACTCTCTTCAAAGCCTTTCTTGTATTCAACCTTGAATGTTCCAAAACAAGGCCTATTACTCGAAGCCTGTGTTTGCAGGCATGATATGGAAACACAGGAAAGAAGCCCAGATTTTCGTGAGAAGTTGGCACTCTGGGCAATGGCACCCATCTGTCAGGAAAGTGGGACCCATTTCTGGCTCTGTAAGATGACAGTGCCAGGGAGCTGAGATTCCACACTACTTTGTCTCTGGGAGAAATGCCTCCTTCCAATCCTAAATCATTTTATCTGGCTACCCCAGGAGGCAAACACTTTATCCACAGTTTCTGTAAAAGCTTGAAAAGGTAGAATAACAAAGCTTAGGCTCCAGAGCCAGAGAAGCCTGAGTTCAAACCTGATCTGCCCTTTGCCAACTGGATGATCTCGGGAAAGTTACATCATCTCTCTAAGGCAGCGGTTCTCAACCTGTGGGTCGTGACCCCTTTGGCGGTCGAACAACCCTTTCACAGGGGTCGCCTAAGACCATCCTGCATATCAGATATTTACATTACGATTCATAACAGTAGCAACATTACAGTTATGAAGTAGCAACGAAAATAATTTTATGGTTGGGTCACAGCATGAGGAACTGTATTTAAAGGGCCAGAAGGTTGAGAACCACTGCTCTAAGGGCTCATTTTCCTCAGGGGACTATTGTGATAAGTCAACAAAATAGTAGGTGATACCTGCTTCATGCAGGGGCTGGCATACAGAAAACGCTTGGTAAATGTTAGCAATGAGGTTGGCAATGACAATAGTGATGATGGTGGTGATGGTGGTGTTGACGATGGTGAAGATGATGATGATGATAATAGTGATAATGATGGTAATGATGGCCCTAGTGATGATAATATGGTGGTGATGGTGATATTGATAATGGTGATGATGATGTTGGTAATGGGAAGGATGGTGATGGTGGTGGTGGTGAGGATAATAGTGATGATGGTGATGTTGATAATGGTGAGGATGATGTTGGTGATAGGAATGATGATAGTGTTGATGGTAATTATGGTAATGATGATGGTGGTAAAGATAGTGTTGGTGATGACAATGATGTCAGTGATGGTGATGATGGTGATAATGGTGATGTTGATAATAGTGATGATCATGTTGATGATAGGAATGACGACGATGGAGGTAATGATGATTATAGTGATGGTGACGGTGGTGGTGATGGTAATGGTGGTGATGATGGTGATGGTGGTGGTGATAATAACGGTGATGGTGATGATGGTGATGTCGGTAGTGATGATACAGTGGTGGGGAAAGGTAGTGATCTACAGTAAAAAGAATATAGTGCCAGTAAGCAAGAGTTCTAGAATCTAGTTCTCTACCCCTCCACCACTATCACTGACTACTATATGACCTTGGGCAAGATAATCTTTTTGGTTCTCTTTATTCAAGCCATGGCTCCTTAATGATTTACCAGGTAATGAGACCTGTCTGCACCATCAGAGCACTGTCAGCTGGCCTCAGAGCTTGGAGCAGGCAGTCGTAAAGCAGAAACCTGATACTTACGTGTCCTTTTAACTGTTTGGTATTGGCAGGGAAGGCTTGATGAGAAGCCACATCTGCCCCTTCTAGCAGAATTTACTTCCCACAGGGTTTCAGTAAGTGACAATTTACCACAGTTCATCTCCAGACATTAACTACAGTTGTTTACAAAGGAGCATCATTCTGATTGGTTGGAGCCTAGGTGCCCAGTTGTTTGCTAAATATTTTGAATACTGTGTGCATTTGTAACTACAGGATTCATCCAGGACATCGCCGCAATAATCAGGGTGCTTACTGTTGAACCCTCTCGGTAGAATTAAGCTCTGTCAGAGAGGAACCTGTTATGTGGTTCTCATTCCTAGAGCCCAGTGTCTCTCACACAGGATCTTGCCCATAGTAGTTGTTTAGTAAACATTTGTAGAATCAGTAAATGAGGCTGAACACCTTTATACCTTCACTAGGAGATCCTGGTCACTCATAGGGAACACATCACTCATCTATTTTAAAAGAATGCTTTTGCAAACAAAAGAAATGGAACAGCCTGGCCGATGTGGCTCAGTCGTTGAACATCAACCCATGCACCAAGAGGTCACTGGTTCAATTCCCGGTCAGGGCATATGCCGAGCTTACAGGCTCTATCCCCAGTAGGAGGCATTTAGGAGGCAGCTGATCAGTGATTCTCTCTCATCCTTGATGTTTCTATCTCTTTCTCTCTCCCGCTCCCTTCCTCTCTGAAATCAACAAAAATACATTTAAGAACAAAAAAATGGAACAAACTTCTCACACAAGCCAGGAAAGAAGTCGTAGGTGGGAGTCAATAAAAAGGTAACAGTCCCAAGTGAAGGAGGCCCAGAAAAAACTTTAAAGTAACACAACTCTAAGTAAAGGATGGTGGGTAAAAAGGAATTTACCTCGCTGCTCATCTTGGCAACCTGCAGGGAGTGCAGAAGCCTAGAGTCCGTAGTTCCCATGGCTTTGCCTTTGCTTTTTTCATATTCTTCTTTGTATTTAATCTTGAGAGAAAGAAGAAAGTCTGCCGTGAGGGAGAGAGAAACTTTGCCATATCAGGGGTTCTGGTTTTAACAAGTGCAAGGGGAATAATTCTGCAAAAACACCTCCCAGTCTTTCGCACCCAGAAGATTAAAGGAGTGTGATGTTTGCCACGTTAACAGTCATTATTTTTTTCTGCAGGACCACTGACATTTTATGGAAACCATTTCTTATGCATTTCTGAGTTAATGAGAGAAAAACCTACATTGCTAGCAAGCTCTCCGGAGGCTTTGGCGGCCAGCAGAGACATGGCATCCAGCTTCATTTCAAATCCTTTCCCCTTGGACTTTTCCCAGCCTTCTTTGTACTTAATCTGACAAACAAAGACACAGGTGAATTAAGAGTCCCTATCCATATTCCTGCCAAAAGTTGAAGAAAAAAACAAACAAATAGCGAAGGTGGCATCTTCATCTGTCTACAGACAAGAATCTTGGTGTTATTATCAAAAGGATCATAGCAATTATTATGACAGTTCGTTGATTCCTTAGCTGCAGAGCCATGCAGGGCAACGGTAATGGGTAGGACAAAGAGAAGACCCATGTGTTCATCCTAGGTCTGGTGTTTCCTGATCATGTGACCTTGGGTAAATTACCTTTTTATGCCTTAGTTTATCATTTGCAAAAAAGAATACCCTATTATCTGTCTCAGGATTGATGTGAGAATAAATTGGATGTAGTATATGAAAACAGATCTTAAGCTGGCAAAGTGCAACCTAGATCTAAGGTGTTGATATTGGTGTTGCCATGGTAATGGCGCCTATTGTTTTCTGGTCCTTTCCTATGTGTCTTCTACTCATCAACTCTAAGTCTTTGCATTGGGCTTGTGAGGCTCAGAGACATTAAAACCTCATGTAGGGACATGGGTTGAAAGTGGCAATGCCAACATCTGACCTGGGTCTATCTGATACCAAACCCCATGCCACTATGTCTCTATAATAAATACCTCCTGGGGGTATGACAATTATCTCCATCGCTTCTCCCAGTGCCCAGCACAGAATACACATCAACAAATATTAGTTCCTTTTCCTTTTCTTCTTTTGCCCCACAAATCCTATCTAGAATGAGAAGCCTAATCACAGCCCATTTGGGACTCCAGGAAGAATCTGGTCATTAACATCGATCTTTAACTTAAAGTTTCTCTACACAGCATAGCTCCAGCTTGAAGTCACCCAGATGATGATGATGCTCACCTGTGCACATAACCTCCACCACACTCTCCCCATGCTGCCTGCTTACCTCGCTAAAGAGCTCAGCGTTGGATTTGGCCTTTGCCAGTTGAGGTACATCCTGGGGCAATGTGTAATTCAACTTGTTTTTCTCATAGTCAGCACGGTAATTCACCTATTGGGTTCCAAGTAAACCCACAGGGTAAATGCAAGGTGTTTGGATGGGCAGAACACTCTCTTTTCCACTTTCCCTTTAGACTCATAGCTGAGAAGGAGTTTCTGGAAAAGGCACTTGACCAGAAAGCCTACAATTCTGTGAATGTTTTAAATGAACAGACTGAAGATGCCCAGTGAAAAGTAAAACAACTCAGAGGCACTCAGACTCATGAGCTTGCAAAGGCTTTCCCTGTGGCCACCTCAGCAGCTCCCCTTTAAAGAACTTGTGAGGGGATGGAGCTTAGTTTATTATCTCACTGCCGTGGAGAACATCTTGCAAAATGCATGGTGGATACTCAAAGAGTAATTCATCGATGTCTGCCCACATTGAAGAAAAGCAATCTTCAATCTCCAAGAAAGAGCCACCCAGACATTATGTGATTCCCAGTGATAGAATACAGCATCATCTGAGACGCAGTCTTGCCCCAAAATTAAACCTGAACCTGATCGAGTCTATAGACGCAACCACTATTTCATAGGACAAGTGGAGGCTGGAGGAACACGTGAAAGCCGCAGTGGGTTGCAGCTGGCAAAGCTCAGACTGTGGGAAATGGTACAGGATAAACAATCCAGTCTCTACAACAGACAACTTGCGAGAAAAGAAAACATTTTTTTAAAAATTTAAAAGATGAAAAGTCTTAAAGACCTATCAACCAATCACAAAATGCGGACCTTATTTGACTCTAATTCAAACAAACTATAAAAAAGTATAACCTTATGAGACAACTGGAATGTTGAATACTAATTAACATTAGTGATATTAAGAATTATTAATTTTTGGGTGTGATATATAAAAAATGCATACTATGTTTTAAGTGTTTTTCATCTTTTAGAGATTCATACTAAAATACTTATAGAGTAAATAATACGATACCTGGGATTTTTTTCAAAATAACATGGGCGGGGAAGGGAGTGGATGGGCATAACGATAAAGCAAGACTGGCCGTGAGGTGATGGTGAAGCTGGGTGATGGGCCCTGGGGATTCTTTACACTATTCTTTTTACTTTTGAATGTATTTGAATTTGTCAAGAGCGGGGGCGGGGGGGTTCATTTCATAGCTGTAATAAGACAAATGTCACCATTCATGAAAGTCACGTCCTTGGGAGCCCGCTATCCAGAGGCCACCCGGCAATCACAGGTCACCCACATCCGGATGGGCATGTCGGGTCACTTACATGACTCAGTTGCTGGGCGTTGATTTTGGCTTGAACAATCTGAGGGGTGTTGATCACAGAGCTGTACTTCAACTTGTCGATGCTTTGCCTGTAGTTGACCTGGGTGCACAGAGGCACAGGAAGATGTCACTCACTCTCATCTCTGAGACCTGCTTAGCCCCGTCTGCCTAAGCCCAACCGAGCTGCGATTCTCAAAGGACTAGAAAGAGAACCAAAGATTCCAACTGGAGACGACAAACATTCTGAGCCCACCTGAGCCTTTCCAGGCACAGACTCCACGTTGGCCCCTAGTCAGCTGGGCTCTGGCTTTGATCACCCACCCCACTCACAGTCATCATGCCTCTGTTGTTTGTTAATCCTCATCCGAGGATACTTTTCCATCGATTTTTAGAGAGAGTGGAAGGGAGGGGGAGAGGCAGAGAGAGAGAAATATCCATGTGAGAGAGACACGTCGATTGACTGCCTCCCCCACATGCCCCAACCAGGGCCAGGAATTGAGCCTGTAACCAAGATACTTGCCCTGGACCAGAATCGAACCTGTGACCTTCAGTCTGCAGGCTGACACTCTATCCACTGAGCCAAACTGGCGAGGGTATGCCTCTGTCTTATTGCCTAAAGCCCAGGACCCCACCCCACACCCCACACACTGTTATAGCTTCTTCAGGCCTCCACATGCCTCAACCAGGGCCAGGAATTGAGCCTGTAACCAAGATACTTGCCCTGGACCAGAATCGAACCTGTGACCTTCAGTCTGCAGGCTGACACTCTATCCACTGAGCCAAACTGGCGAGGGTATGCCTCTGTCTTATTGCCTAAAGCCCAGGACCCCACCCCACACCCCACACACTGTTATAGCTTCTTCAGGCCTAGATTCAAGAAGAAAAGTTTTTGCACATTCTGAGTTTGGGACATGGGGTATGGAGGGAAAACTAGGAAATATAAACTCATTTCAATGTCAACTATTACTGTGATTAGAGTACAGTGGCTTCCTGATGCATTAATTCAGAGAGAAAAATTATCATCTCATGATGAAGTGTCTAATAGAATTCAGAATTATGCACGATAAAAGGTCACAAAAACTGTATTTATAGAATGGCATATTCCTTCCCGATAACTCTGCATTAAGTACGTGGCAGAGCACAGCTGCTTTCCTCTGCAGGACATAACTGACAGTCTCCGTGATTAACCACACCTTCGCCGCCTCACAGATCCGTGGCCATTGCTTCAGCTTTCTCTCTGAAGCGGCTCTTCACTGAGCATAGTCTCATTGTACTGCTGTTAGTGTTTAGAAAACCCGTCTGAAGGGAACCCTCTCTAATCAAGGGCTGTGTTTGTTTAATTTCATAGCTATCTGAGCACCTTTACAACTACCAGACAGCAAGAGAGGCCACAAATGTTCTTGTAATGGGTCCCCCAAACTTCCTGAACACCAACGCCCCTACATTAGGGCATAAACTCAAAATCACAGGGAGCCAAGAAAGTAGGAAGAAGATGGTGACAGAGAGCAGCTGCCACTCAGTCCCACCCAAGCACTGCCATGCAGGGACTAGGGCCACAGTTCCCTGGGTTTTCCAACTTAAAAAAAAAAAAGAATATATAAATTTGTGCTCTCTTACATAAATTTCTATATATTGGTCCAATTTTTTAAAAAAACAACTCTGTGGCCAAATACAACATCTCGGCAGCCTGGATTTGGCTCGTGAGCTCCATTTTGAACTTACCTCTGCTTATTTCTAATCCAGTCTAATTTCATTCTATTCCCAGACTTCCAAAGGTGAGCTGGCTATATTTCAGGTGCTTGGTTTGAGTCAGCCTTATACAGATGAATGTCATAGCAAGCCATGTTATAATGGGAGTACACGTTGTAGGAATCTACCTTGGTTTGCTTGTGCTATTACGCATGATTTCTATAATTCAACTGTAAGAGCACACACTCGAATTTTAATGAAATGCTCTCAATCCTCACATTCCCCAGGTAACGTATGCAGCCAAAAATAAAAAGAAGTAGTTTTGGCAGTCAAGTTTAACCTTGGGTTTCATTAAGGTGAAGTGAGCAAGTCAACCCAACCAAGTTTCCTCAGAAAAAGAGAAGCAAAGTTTAAGTCCTTTATATTTCTCTACTGCCCATCCCTTGCTTTATTACATGTTTGAAAGCCCCTTTCATCCATTAAACTGTCATTTGCCAATGATTATCCTCCATTGTCCTGCAAACTGTGTCAGACACTAGAGATACCCACCACAGCCAACACTGCTCTGACTCTGAGCAAAAGACAGAGTGACATAAAGACCTACCTACCAATAGCAAAACCCAAGTCAACTACCGATCCCAAAGGAATGTGCAGGAAAGTAGCACTGAGCATTTATTAAATATTTGTTAAGTTATTGACTGATTTATGATAACCTTTGCTGACAAGTAACTGTGATACCAACTCAATCTAAACCACCTTAAGTACTTTTTAAGATAGGACATGACTTTTATCTTTTTTTTCTTCGTACTTTTCTGTATTTTCTAAATTTTCTGTAATAAAGATATAGTAAAATTCTTCTAAGTAAAAAAAGAATAAATTTAATTAATTATGCATATTTTATTTTGTGCCAGCCAAACTATAAATAAAATCACTGATGTAATAATTGAGTGATATATTATTACACACATATATATCCCAAGTGCTCCTAAGAAAAAAATTGAGTTACCATTACCACTTTCTCACAACTTACAGCCACTTTATCTTATTTCCTCCAATCCTTAAACATACCACACTCCTAAACTTAAAAAAAAAAAAAGGTCATCGTTGCTAAGGAACAATTACTGAATGTGCCCAGCAGTGGACACAGTCCACCAAATTCCAACAGGAGAAATTCAACCTCAGGTTATTTTCAAGACAAAACTAGAGTTGTCCTCACCTTATATTGAAAAGCTAAGAGTTCCCTTAGCCCTGGCCGGGTAGTTCAGTTGGTTAGCACATCATCCTGATATGCCAAGGTTGTGGGGTTTGATCAGGGCACAAATGGATCTCTCTCTCTCTCTCTCTTTCCCGCCCTCCCTCCCTCCCTCCTTCCCCTCTCTCTCAAATAAATAAAATAAAATAAGAACTAAGAGTTTCCAAACATGCATAAATGGACTTCCTAGTGAAAAAGAGTGCCCTTTTCTCAATCCCTCTTCCTCTTCCTATGTATCTTGTTTCTTTCCATCTTGCTGCCTAAGAATCACTCCACAGGAGAGAAGCGACCAGAAAGAGCAGAGAGGGCTATTGGAAGAGGACTTACATCTTTCAAGGGAACCAGCTTCATGACTGTTTGATAGGAAGGCGTGAGAGTGGCTGGGTAGTTGTAGTCGACAACATCGTGTTTGTAATCCTCTTTGTAGGCAATCTGAAACACAAAGAAAAGAACAAGAGAAGAGAAATTAGCCTCTACTTTTTTTTTTTGTTTACCTTGTTTGAATGTCATAGGAAGTATTTTAAAAGGTAACCAGAGGGGGAAATAAAAAAGTAACCAGAAACAAAATTAATTCAGTTTCATCACCTCCAAGGAAAATTAAGTTATGCTCACACTTTTGCCTTCAATTAATTTGAATTCTTGCTCTTAATTAATCCAAAATTCATTAATTTCCATCTGTAGCACGTTTATTTTATCTTATTAAATATGGAGTCCCTTGTAATTTTTGTTAATAAGAAGTATTTGCACATGAATATACAATGGAAGAGCTTCTTCCAGAAAATAAATGAAAAGTCAAGAGTCTTCAGAGTGCTTTCAATTTTGTTTTTCCTAAAGATCAAATTTGACATTCTCAAGCAGAGGACATTTGACATTTCTATGTTTTAATAATGAAATTGGTAAGATTTACAACTTGGCATTTGCAAACCTATGAACTGAATTGACAAAGCCAAAGACGGATTAATAGATTTCAGGCTTTGATGAAACAGGGACCTGGTCTATTTTGAAGACCAGTGCCTTCCATGAACAGAAGGTCTCCAATGAACATCATGATGGAATAAATGAATGAACCACTCAATCAAGCACCCACCCAACCAACAAATTTCAAAGCAGGAATTTCAAATAAAAATTATGCTCGTCCATTTCTCTTTATCTCTCGGAAATTGAAAGTTTTTTCTCACACTGGATCAGTTACAATGGATCTGACTACTCTTCAAACCAGAGAAAGCTGAGATAAGTAAATTGAAGCTATTGATCAATGTCAAGGATTTTTACCTAGCCTTGGTTGTATCGGTTCATGTTTAGGAACTCTTATGGGTCAGCCTTTACACAATAGAAAACTGATTTTTCCAAAGGGAGGCTGAAAAGAATTGGCTGAATTCCTTATGCCCCACCTCTTTCCACTCCAACTGATCCCCAGGACCGCCAGGCCCCTCACACAAGGACTCACGTTGCTTGCCAGACTTCCGACTTTCATCGCATGGAGAGTCCGTCTGTCCATACCAACTCCTTCATAGTGGCCTCTCATGTGGTTCTGGTAGTTTTCTTTATATTTATTCTACAGGGGACCATAAAACTTTCAACAAAAGCATTCTCTTCCCAACATGTTCAAAATTAACTATTCCTCTTAATGGATTAAATTGAAAATATAAATGATTAAAGACAACCCATTTAAGTAGTCAGTGTTTCACTGAATAACAAGACACACCTTTTAAAAAAATAATCAACTGAAGTTTCAAGCAAGGACAAGAAGTTGGAATGGGGCAAGCACACAGCAGGCAAAAAACAACAACATAAAATCTGATGGGCACAAACAGCACAAAACATACCTGACTTTAAAAAAATATTTTCAATTGTGTATATGCCAGATCTTTTTCAATGTGCAAACCTACTGTGAGAGCAGGAGCTCTCCAATGGGCAAGTCCTGATTGTGTGAAGCCCCATGCTGGGGGATAGTACAATCACTGTAGGCTACTACCTCCATTTCTAAATAGATGAAGAATAAAACTTGAGCTCTGCCAAATTCTATGAACATTTCATCACAGATTGGTCACTACCACAACCAGGTGAAATAATATTGTGCCCCAAATGCAGCTTACCAAATAATGAGAACCAAAATGGGATGATAAGAAGCCATAAATAGGAAAATTTGGGTAGCATCTAATGAAGCCATATTAACATGACCTGCCCTGGGAGGCCATTGAGTTATTAGGCACTGAGAGTATTTAAACAGAATAATCCTATCTAATAAAAGACAAAAATGGTAATTGGCGTACGACTGATACCCTTTTCATTGGCTAATCAGCGAGATATGCAAATTAACTGGCAGCCAAGATGGCGGCAGGCAGCCAGGCAGCTGATGCGAACAGGGAGGCTTGCTTGCTTCAGTGACGGAGGACTACAACATTCCCCGCCTGCCGCTCCAGCCTCTGAGCTCCTGAAGCAACAGCTCCAAAAGATACAATGTTTCAATTATAGAGCTAAAAGATGGTGGTTAATTTGCATACACCAGTTGCGAGGGAAGACTGAGGACAAAATGGAGGCCGAGCGGCACAGAAGGGAGCCAAGTAGAGGCGGCGGCGGGG